CTTGGAAGGAGCAGGGGCCAGTGGGCAGTGTCCTGGGGAGAAAGACACTGCCAGTGTCCCCAGGCAAAAGACTCATAGAGATACAGAATAAACATGCCCCCACGGTGTGTCACCACTTCAGCTGAGTGGCACCATACCCAGATGTGCAAACTTGGGGGTGTAAGGAGGAGGGGTAGAGGAAGAATAGCAGCTGTGAAGGAAGGCCTTGGGGTTGGAAGCCGAGGGACTGAGAGGAGCCCCGAAGCCAGCACCTTCTGGAGATTTTCCTTGTTAAAAGGAGGCCGGGCGTCTGTGGCCAGCTCAGGACCCAAGCAGGAAGGAACCCCAGGGTGAGTATAGGCCATGAGCACCTGAAGTCTTTTCCCAGAGAGCCAGATATCCACTCTAGCAGCAAAGTCCTTAAACATCTGTCCACCTGACCCTTGGTGACTGAGGGTATTGTCCACCCACAGAGAGGGTGGCCTCTTCCTTCCACTTTCCCCCATTGCCAGGGCCCCCAGTTGAAGAAGCCCATTCAGGAGTCACTTAAATAGAAGCAATACACCTTATCGTGCCTCAGCAGAGGGTTCGCGTCACCTGGACTACTGCAGGTGCTCTCACTGCTGCCCAGTCACAGCCACTGCTATGTCTGAGAAGCAGGAAGCGTAGGGAGTAAAACAACAAATCTGGCCACAGGCAGCCTGGATTCCACGGGGGCCACTCCCTATCTGCTATGTGAACAGGCATCTGTGGATGGAGCATGGGCTGTCCTGAGGGGTTTACAGAAGCTCTGGTGCTTAGAATCATCTCTATAAGTCGTCAACTTAGAAATGCCAGCTCTCGTTCACTCAGCCCTTAGGGACTCAGGAAGATGGCATGCAAAAAGGCCCAGGAGCCTAGAAATCTCTACCAGGAAGTGCCCATGCCACCTTATGTCACTGCTGGACTCCCTCCACCACAGGCTGCATGGACTGTACCAACCCTTGGGAGGTGCCATGGCTTCCTCTCCTGGGGAAGGAAGAAGGGAACTCGGGCAAAAGTCCACGTGTCTGAAAGGAGGGGTGTGGCCTTCAGGGTAATGACCTCAGCCGATATCTCCATGGTGATGTCGCTCCCAGCCACAGGCCACTCATAACACCCAAACAATCATTTTTTGTTTTCATCAGAAAAGAGTTTAGATTTAAATTTCTTTTGTTATTTCTAAAAGTAACACATGCTTGTTTAGGAAAATCCAGAAAAGGGGAAGAAAAATTCCCATGGGTTTCCCCCTCCCAAAGCCTACCACCGTGACCAGGTTTTCTCTCTACAGTTTACAAGGTTGAAATTCTACTGTATTCACAATTGTATGATGTGCATTTTTCATTTGACATAAATACAGGAGTGTTTTTCCATTTATTACAAATTCCTTGTAAACAGATTCAGAGACTATATAATAACCCCTCATGTGGATAGGACCTGTTGATCCTAAAAAATAAAATAAAATAATTAAAGTACAGAGAGGCAGCAACCTGCAGGGCAGCCAGGCCTCACCTGTGGCTGCCCCACCACAGGCCTCCGAGACCTCTGCCCCAGCACCCGGTTACTCCTGATGTGCTCTTCCCATAATACCCGCCCCCCTCTCTTGTGGGGCTGCTGGTCATAGCCAGTGTCAGCAAGAAAATGGCCAAATCAGCACTTTCTGTGGAGACAAAAGCCCTGAGTGAGAGGTCTGTTGGGAGAGCCCCCTCCCCCAGTCTTTCTCCCACTCCCACCCCCAGGCCTAATGCCCTGGGCATCAAGCCCAGCTCCACCTTCCATGGCTGCATCCTTTATTTGGCCACAGGAAGCAGAAAACCCAAATCCAAGCTTCAACAAGATAGAAGCCTATCTTCCCTCACTTAGGACACGCCTGGCAGCAGCACAGGCAAGGAATGTTCCTCTCAGGTGAGTCATACCTTTGCGGCTCCGCCTGCCCAGTCCAGGTAAGGGGAAGCTAGTACTCTGAGAGAACTGAGGGCTGTCAGTGAGGGAGGGGGCCGGTGGGTCTTCCACCCACCTCCGGAGGGCAAAGCAGTTGGCAAAGCAGTTGGCAAAAGTGAGCTCAGGTGCCTCAGAACAGGATCTGTGTGAGTTGCAATCTCTGCCTCTCTTTAGACCTCAATTTCCTCACCTGAGCAAGCAAGGGCCTGGACAAAGTGATGGTTTAGTTTCTAATAAGGATGCTTCTTAGTCCATCCCTGATGGGCTGATGTCCTGACAACTCGGGTGGCTTTCCTGGTTCCAGAAGCCTCAGATGTCAAAGAAGGGAGAGGTGCCCTCAGGCCCCGCATACCATTTGGTCTGGGTCAGAAATCCATCCATTTGGGCAAATCACACTGTCTGCTACATCTCACCTGCCCTGTCTTTTCTGAGCTCCCTCTTTTGCCCTAGAACCTGAGTGTACAGGCCAGGTGGGGCTTCAAGAGATCTGAAAACTACCTGGACCTGTCTGCAAAACTCTGTGTGTGTGTGTGTGTGTGTGTGTGTGTGTGTGCGCGCGCGCGCGCGTGTGTGCGTGCACACATGTGTGTAAGCATATCACATATCTGGGGGAGTCTCGATGGATTTCAGAGTCTCAAAGGGGCTGTGTGCCCTAAAAACCTGACCTGGACTGGCCTTCCCCTTTGTTTCCTCTGCCGCTCCCCTTCTCTCACAGTGTCCCCCTCTAGCTCTAGCTTGGACCCCACAGCCTTCAAGTTGTTCTCTCAGGGTCTCAGCCTGCCTCCATGAGCTGCCAGGAAAACTTTTAGAATGGCTTCTGTTGGGCTTCACCTGCTTTCTATCATCAGGACCCTAACAGCCTGGACTTTGCAACCATCCTGGGCTCCCTTTCTACCACTAATTCCCAGGAAAGCAACCTGAAAAGCCCTGCCCTTCACTCTATTTCTTCCTCTCCATGGCGAGGAAAGTCTCTATTAGAAATCTCCCACTAACAGTGGAAAATCCAAACTCCTAATATGCACTCAAGTCCTTTTACAACCTTGCTCTTTGAAAAAGAATCCACACTTCTTGAATGCTAACTGCCTACTAGGCACGCTTTTTTACTCCCTTCACCTAGATTAACATGTTCAAACTTGACAACCCTGGGAGACAGTCTAACATTAGTTCCATTTGATAGATGGGGAAACAGGCCCAGAAAGTCTTGCCCATCAGCTGGAGGTGATGGAGCTGGATTTTTACCACTGCACTATGCCTTAGGCCTTATCTCTTAATATCCAGACCACCCATCCCAACCACACGGAACAATTTGCTCCCTAGTTCCTGAATACAGCCTTTTTGCCTTGAATCCCCTGCCTTCCCATCAGGTTGACACCTCCCCTAGAAGGCCACTCTCCTCTGGGCTCACCCTACACCCTCCTACCGACTTGGTCTCCAGGTCTGGCACCTTTCACCAGCTCCTCAGGGCTGGCAAGTGCCCAGCCTCCACCATTATACATCATTACACATTTGCTGAACTGAAGTGAAACACTATCCCCAATTTAAAGTTGGGGAAACTGGGTTCCAGAGATTAACTCATTTTTCAAACATTATGGATACCAGGGCAGTGAAGGGATGGTTGGTGGCAACTTAGCAAATTCATTCATTCAACAAGTGTCAATTGAGTGTCTACCCTTTAGCCAGGCACTGTACTGGATGCCTTAAAAGATATAAACAAGACTGCTTGGTACCTGCCCTCCAGAGTGAGTCTCACTGTACATACCACAACCCCCCCAATACATACCACAACCCACCCAACATACCCTCGGTCCCATGGTCAAGGGAAATGAAGGTCAATTTGAGCCGGGCTTTGAAGGGGAGTGATGATTTATCAAAGAAAGGAGGGAGAGGGCTACGGATAGAACCAGCAAGGCAAAGGCTCTCAGTAAGGCAAAGGCTCGGAGGAGGTTAGTTTATCAAAGGGGAAAAGGGACACAAAGGCACAGAGGCCAGCCACACCCAGTCACCTTTGGTTGGGATTCGTTCACTTCTCATCCCTGGGCAGCCATTTAGCTTCTGTCCCCACCCCGCCTCACCTCTCACCCCACCCCACCCCCCGCCCCCAGGAGGGTGAGCCAGGCAGCTGTGTCAACTCCTCTAATATCTCAGAAGAACGACCCTGTCCCGGGGAGGAGGTTACAGCTTCCCTCTGTGTCTTGGAAAAGACGTACTGGGAGCAAATTACCAAGAAACGCGTGTCATTTATTACCAACCCCTTTGGCCTCTGAAGAGCTCAGTAAGACCTAGAGTTCGCCCCTCGGTCACGCCATCCCCTCCTCATCTCTTCCTGTGTCCAGTCCAACGTCACCTCATCTGTGAAGTCTTCCTGGAACCTCCCCAGCCCTACCCCCAGCTTCCTGAATTTCCATCTCTTCCAAATGGTCTAGGCCATCCTCCCGAGAGGAGCAAGTCTGAAGGACGCTATTTCACCAAACACGACTGAAGAACCAATAGGTGTCCAGAGCTAAGAGCGGGGTTGGCGCATCCCGGACACCCACCAACTGACAGCTACTGGCTGACAATGAGGTTCCGCTGCGTTTTCCGCCCGCCCAGCTTCCTGAATTTCCATCTCTTCCAAATGGTCTAGGCCATCCTCCCGAGAGGAGCAAGTCTGAAGGACGCTATTTCACCAAACACGACTGAAGAACCAATAGGTGTCCAGAGCTAAGAGCGGGGTTGGCGCATCCCGGACACCCACCAACTGACAGCTACTGGCTGACAATGAGGTTCCGCTGCGTTTTCCGCCCGCCCGCCCATTGGCGGCTCGGCGCCGCGGCCCTAGAACCGCGGTTCGCGCGC